GGCCCCGCTTTGGGGATTCGGGATGTATTTTGGGTCTGAAACGTTCCCAACGCAGGAAGCTCCTGCGTTAAACACAAGCAGAGCGCGCGTGCTGACCTCACGTGGATGCCGCCTGGATCATCGCAGTGTCTGGAAGGCCATTCCCGGGCACTATGTATCTGTTTCTACCTATATCTGTCTATACATCCATACAGGTGCAGCAAACAAGCCTAGAAAACATCCCGTACCGACAGGATTTCTCTCACCCAGTTTAGTGTAAAGTGGCGTGTTGTATGATGTGTGTTGTGCCGTTTCGTTAAACGTTTTACTGAATCGGGGCCTTGTTGTGCAGATCTGAAGTGAGACTGGGGGCACTTTGCACTACCCAGCACTGTGGCCTTGTGTAATAGAAAGGGATTTTCTTCTCAGAGCGCCGATGAACATGTTACGCATCCCAGCCTCTCAGATTAGAAATATTTGCTGAGAAATTGCTCTATATTGCAGTTATTAAAGACAAAAAATGAACCCTCCCACCTCCAAAAACAACTAAAATGAACAAAAATTCAGGTTGGAAGCCACTATAAAAAATCAGCTTTCTTTGTGGAAGGACCTAGCTGAATTCACCAAATCCAGTAAGGGAATTTGAGCCATTACTGCCAAAATACACGGAGCTGGAAAATGCTGACACTTATCTTCTCTTTTAGGAAAATAAAAAGTACTTTAAGCGCAGCGAGTTAGCCAAAAAGGAAGAGGAGGCCTACTTCCAGAGATGTGGCTACAAGGTACTGTAATTGGCGCTTCGAGAACTTGTGTTTACTTTGAAGTCTGCATTTTATTATCAACAGCATAAATACTGTTAATGGTAATTGTTGTTCTTGTTCTTTGTTCAATCTGTTAATGGTATACATTAGCCTGTAAATGAGAAGCCACCTGGAGAGGTAGGAGTTTCCAAAACCATTTTCAATGCAGGAAAAGATGTGCATGATGTAAAGCAACTTCAGTTTTGTGTTATGGTTTGGCTTTTCCTTTTCATTTATTTATTTTTCATGGAAAGCATGAAGTGGCTTGGAATCAAAGCTTGTCTTCCGTTCTTTTCAAACTGTGCTTTTAGGCATGAACACTGACATATCCACCTCCCCTTATCTTAAAAAAAATAATAATAAAAATAAAATTGGCCATGCTACCATGCTACCATTCAGATAATTTTCAAGGTGATCTTGCCAAAATTTCCAAAAGAAATCAGTATAGAGTGGGTGCGTGTTAAAAAGACCTGTCAAATTTCATACCATGTACATTTGTAATTTTTTTTTTTTGGCTCCCAGTCACCCAGCACTGAAAGAGTGCAGTACAGCATTTGTTTTCTTGCTGGCAAAATATGAGGGGAAAAAAAAATGGTAACCTTGGGTGCATTTTGAAACAAATGAGTGATCTGGAAGGCTTTATCTGCCTTGTGATGGTGTTAGGAAATAGTTTTCTTGGAAAGAATGCTGTTTATTTTACAAGTGTGTGTGTATGCCTGCTTGCTTGGTTATATATGTGTGTGAGGGGCTTTGCAGTCCATTTGGGAAGGCAGGGGCTCAGAATCTTGTTTACTGCTGTGGGTGCAGATAGGAGGCTTTGTTTTCAGTTGAACTTTACCCAGTTAGTGACTTATTCAGAAACCTTGATCTGTTTGTGGACTATTTAAACATTGATGCCAAAACAATTTTTGGAAGGCATCACTATGCAGTATAAAGCCACAAATGAGGCATCTGTGCTGCTGCAGGAAATGAAATGGAAGTGTAACCCTGAAAAGAGCTTTAAAATAAGCTATTTTATTAAATTTAGCACCTTTTTAGAGCCTCCCAGATTTCTGCATTTGCTCTTTATTAATAAAATGTAGAATATGGGCTGATTTCTTTTAAAAATCAGGTGCTTCTTTGCTTTGCCTAGACTTAATAAATTGTATTTACTTGACTTGCTTGAAAAAGAAAGCCCTGAAACCAAATAACTGTGATAAAGATATGCCTTGTAACTTGGAGTCCAGCTAACAGAATGGATCAAATCTTACCCCCAGTGCTGCTGTCTTTTTAAGAATGTTTCTCAGTTAAAATCTGTGTATATCCTTCTGCCATGGGAGTGTATTTCCTTGTATATATTTACACAGTTCTTTCATATTTTGTGTTGCCTGTTCATTCCCCTCTCCTGCACTGATGGATGGTTCGTTTTCCCCCTCCCTTTGTGTGTTGAGTATTGGCTTGATTGTCCATTCCTTGCTTGCCCCCAAACTCTTGTGACTGTGAGATGAGGTTCTATGTTTGCATTGAATATAGAGATTTGTGGCTCAGCATTGGAACTGGAGCCACAGGGGTGGGTCCTTGTATCCGTATGGAGTCATACTGATGCCTGGGCACAGGACTGGGTTGTTGGCCTGAAAGCTTTTTTTGTATATTTTAAGCATTTTTACTTAAAAATGGGTCTAGCACATCCATCAAGCTGAACCTGAATATAGATTGGAATTGACAACTTACTGTCCATATATGGGATGCTACAGACTACTGTAGAATTGAGTATTTCCCTTTTAGCGGGAAAGGAAATAAATTCTAATAAGGTAACTAGGAGAAACAAGATGTGAATAAGCCCTGGAAACGTTTCATATTATAGGAATATTACCAACACCAATCTACCCATGCAATCAGAGATGTCAAATTGGGCTTATAAAGGAACTGTAGCTGCATGACTGCTGTCTCGATGTGGCCTTGATCAAAGAAGGTTTTATTTGCATTATTAAAATACTGAGTAATGAAGAAGAAAGGCACTGTTTGATTCAGGGACCTTCTTTTAGATTAAGAGAATTTGTTAATGAGATGTTATTCTTATGAAGAGAAGTTGGGTTTTTTTTTTTTTTGTATTTGCAAGAAACTGTGCTCATTTGGCAAGTTTGTTGGAAAAATGTGTTACCTTAAACAAACAAACAAACACATCTCAAAATGCAACTTAAACTACGAATCACTGCTAACTGCACTCAGGCCACTGAGGTTGTAGGTAACGAACATTTTGAGCACCAAAAGGAGTCCCACCCTCTCCATGCTCCAGGGTGCTCATTTCTGCTCTTGTGCCCGTGTGAGCTGGGTGAGTACCTTTATTTTTTGCTGGATTATTTTCTGTTTATTTCCCCCAACTGGTTCATCACATAGTGATCCGAATGGGTAAGGAAGACAGGGTAAGGGCAGGAAGGAACAGGCAGAGGTGGGTAGTGTTATTTTTGGCACTGGTGGTGACATACCCCTGCTCAAGTAATTGCCAAACCTTGGCTGTTGTCTGTTCCAGGTGCCACAAACGTCGCTTCCTGCAACTGCAGAAGCGTTAAGTAAACCCTTACACTTATAAAATAACATAGACTCTTTTCTGGTTTTCAGTTACAGGCGACAAAATTTATACAACTAAAATTTTAAATTGATACCATCCTATTATAACCTGTATCCCAGAGTTCCAGTGTTACTATCAATGTATGGATTTACTTCTGCTGACACTTTAGTAACTACATCTGTTGTATGTAGGTACAGCAGGAAGAGGAGGAGGAGAAACCACTGACTTCATCAAATCCAGTGCTGGAATTGGAATTAGCAGAAGAAAAGCTACCAATGACTCTTTCCAGACAGGAGGTGAGTCCATCATGATAAGCTAATGAGTTTGCAGTGGATACACCTGAAATTTAAGACTGTGTTTTCTAACAAACTGTGTTTTCTATGACAGTTTGTAGTAAATCATGAATCTTCATTTTTACAGTCAATCATCTTTACTCATCAGGGATCTGTTGCCTGCATGAAAGCTCAAAGATACACAGGTGGATAGAGCCTTTTTCATACGGATCTTTGCAGATGTGCTAAAGCATTTGGCATCTCTTTCAGATGATCTCTTATAAGAATACCCTGATTCTGAGATAATACTGAATGTGGCATGCCAGGTTTTCCAGGTTTTTCCTTTTTTATTTTCAGCTTCTGTGCTATATGCATAGTTGGTCTGAAACCAAATATAGAAACTAAGTAGATTTTGGAAATTTATCTTGGTTCCTGTAAGAAACAATCCTGACGCTAGAGCTGCTGCTGTGCTTTTTATCCCTTCTAAGGATAAAAAAAAAAGTGAATGTGAGTTCATAAAACAGATTTTTGTGCCAAAGCAGAGGAGAAGCAGGAAGCTTAAGAGTAATATTAAGTACAGGATAAATTGAAGACTTTGAATATTGAATTTCACAGCTGAGATCATCCAGGGATGTCACTTGTGCCCTTAGTTTTGCAAGACACTTGCCTAGTGCTTGATACACAAAATGAATAAGGTAAGAGGTTTAGCAGGCAATGTGTGAGATCAGGAAGAGGGAAAATCTCTGCCCATGACTTTGCAAGTCAGCTGAGCAGGGCTGTTACACCTCAGTTATACCTAGTTTTAAAATAACTATTACATTAGATTAGAGACAATATTTGCCAAGTGCTTTAGGGTGAGACTCTTCAGAAGTCAGTCTTGCAGATGTGTTGGGTCAACCCACAGCATAGTTAAAAGTATTTTTATTGCCTGGACAAGTAGGCGAGTGAGGTTATTGTCAAGTTCCTTTGTGATTTCAAAAATGGTATTTATATTCTGCCAGAAGGATTTGTTTTCCTTTTTTATTATTGTGTGTGTGTGAGTTGAGATTTTTATGCAAAAATTAGAGCAGTCATATTTGGAGTGACCTTTCCATGAAATACTGTGGGAATTTTATTTTTAGATTGTGAAATGTCTGAAAGATTTTCCTACTACTTAAAATATTGCCATTTCCTCTCCAGGCAGACTCAGCTTGTTATTCTAAGCAATGTAAATAAATCTAGTGTTCTGGATTTTATTTTCCTTCCTTTTAGCATTTCTATAAGGGCATGCTTTGATTCTTTTTAGGTTATTAGGAGACTGAGAGAGAGAGGTGAACCAGTGAGACTGTTTGGAGAAACAGATTATGATGCATTTCAACGTTTGAGGAAGATAGAAATTCTTGCCCCTGAAGTTAACAAGGTAAGACTGGCTAGCTAGTTACTGCTAGCTAATTAACGACAGTTGCTTATTTCTGGTGCAGTAACCAAGCCTAAATACTGTAAATGTAACAGATACTGAAAATGTTTCTCTAAATTTTCACAAGGGAGGAATAGTACAGAATGAAGGAGTTGCTCTTGCTCTTCTTCACTCTTTTTTTTTCTTTTTTTTTCTTTTTTTTCTTTTTTCTTTTTTTTTTTTCAAAAATGTCATAGAGTTTCCACGCACAATCACAATTCCTGAAGTTAGATGGTTTAACCCTAGAAAACTCCTAGGCCTTTGAGTTGAAAAAGGGGCCTCCAGGTGGCAGCCATAGACCAGCTGTTGTCCACTTTCTAACCAGCAGAAAAAAAACTTTTTTTTGGTTTAAACTGGACTTTGTGTTTATATGTGTGTCTGGCAAGATACAGGTGCACATGAATATGTCAAGGCCATAACTTGTTATGAATACTTTCTTTTTCATTCCTCCTTCCTTTAAAGTAACAGTGTCTCAAATGACTAAAAGATAAATCTTAGTGTCCTGATTTGTTTCTTTTGTCAAGAATCAATCAGGAAGGTGTGGAGATGCAATTGTTTGTTTAATTTTCAGTATTGACCAAAGTTGCCTAGAGGCTGAGAGCATAGAGCTCAGTTTTATTCCCTGATTCATCACAAATTGAATTGCTTGAAAGCCCTTTGGAGAGGCTGCCCAGAGAAGGAGAACGTTTCCTGTTCAGATCGTTTAAAGCATAACCAAAGACTTTTTAATAAGAAGTCTTAACAAAAGCTCTCTCCCACTGATGCCTGTGACAAAAGTTTTCATGACATTGGTACAGGTATGAGCAAGTAGTAAGGTCATAAATAGGATTGTGTAGATTTTTTTTTTTAAATCATATGTTTTGGTCACTATTATTGCTGAATTTCACTTAAATATGGATAATCACTATAAGCACACTATGCTTCAAACATTTTTTAAACTAAGAAATGGGTAATAGAAGTGCTCCAGGCAGTTAAGAACTAGGATGGAAAAGAGGAAGTAATCGTATGTGTATATTTTAAGTGGACTGAATAAATTTATCTTAAAGTAGGAAATGTTATATTCATTTATAGAGCTTTATACCTCACTTCTCATCTTAAGAAATGCAAGTCTTCTGACTGAGACTGTCATGTTTCCTATTCTATTTTAAAGCAGCTCTTAACAGCATAAATATGATAGATACATATTTCTTTTTTTTTTTCTAAACGTATCTTGTGGAGTGAAGCATACAAGCATTGATAATAATGGAATGCTACATAAATGTTTTGTGTAATAGTACTGAAGGAGAGGTACTTTCATTATTTACAGCTTTTTCAAGGCAATTGTGAAGACTTGGTAGAGCTGACGTTGCTTATGACGAGTTCTTTGTTTTGGGGTGGCACAGTGCATTGCTTGGAAAACATGTCTTGAAGAATGTCTTGGAAGTTAATTCAGTCTTCCTTGCCTTTTCAGATGAAAATGTGAGGAAAAGTCACGTTCTGGGATGTGAACATTGCCTAAGTTTATGCATATGCTTTATGCTAAGCACTGAAGCAATTCTGTTTTCTGTTCTTTCAGTCTGAATTCAGAAAACAAAGCTCAACCTTAATGTATGTTTTTGAAGAATTGTTCTTAAATAAAAGTTGGGTGTACGCTGTGACAATTCTAAACTGTTTTTTAAAAACTGTTTATTTCTTCTCTCTTCAAGGGATTGAGGAATGACCTGAAGGCTGCCTTGGATAAGATTGACCAGCAGTATCTGAATGAAATTGTTGGTGGCCAGGAAGCAGGTGAAGATGACTCACAGAACGACTTGAAGGTCCATGAGGAGAATACTACTATTGAAGAACTGGAGGTATGTGATGGGTAGATTTTATTTCAGGGGTTTTGGGTGAAATATGCTGTAATATTGTTGTGAGAAAGCTTTGGACAAACACTGCAGCTGTTTTTTGTCAACATCTAATTTGGGTATTCTGAATAACCGTTAAAATATAGTCTATTAGGAAAAATAGCTTTCTAAGCTTGAAGCCTCCAGTCTTAGTTACTTTCCTAAGTTCTGAATTGCACCATAGGTGGCTATAATAGACATGTGCAAACTCATGTAGTCTTGTTCACAACACCCCATCTAAAAGAGACCAGGAGCTTCCTGCAAGGCAAGTGTCACAGTTAGGATCCCCTCTGTAGGGAATTTGAAGTAGAGAATTTAATACGAAAGCATTACCTCATCACAAATACTAAGGCTTTTGCAGTGAGTATTTGAGAAATCTGAGGCATTTGAGATGACTTTTCCTTAGCAGAAAAGATGGACTCTGAATAATAGGCACACAGAATGTTTTGACTGATATAAAAGCAGAGAAATGGAAATTAGAAGAAGGCATTCCACAAAAAAATGCAAATGCAAAGATGATGTGTCCCAGAAACTTCAGTGGAAATGACTACTTTGTATTGAAGGAATGTCAAGGTATTTGTGTGAGTGAGTGGAGAATGAGTGCCATGAAATGCATTCAGCAGCGGGAATTTTAGGGTGAGGTTTTCAAAAGCACATTAATTTATGAGCAGAAGACTTCTACCCTTAATCTTCCAACTCTGCAGAAGTTAATCTCCTTAACATCCCTCCAAAGGTGTGTTGAAAAAATAATCTGATTTATAACTAAAGCTTGAGTGAATACGTTATTATTAGGAGATAGTTTGGGGCTTTTATGTTAGGGTACTAAGAGTTCTGCTATAAGAAAACTGTTCTACCAGAGCTGATACCAGTTTTGATGGAATTGCTTTTATGGATTTGTTAGTTCTCAAAATCTTTCCTTTTTAGGGCAGTAGCACAGGCTTGGTTTGAGCTATGAAAGTAATTTTTTGGTAAAGTTTGAAAACACTTAAGTCTTATTTTTTTGCTGTTTTAACTGAATTCAGCTGAGTATAAAGGGTTGGACTGAATGTGTTCCAAATCTAGGAGACTTTTAAACCAAAACTCACTTCGGAAACCTGAGCACAATAGAAATAAATATTGAAATCAAGTATATGTATTGGAAAATGCCTCTAAGAGTTGCTGTTAGTATTGAAAGTTTTGTGGTTTTGGCAGGAAGCTAGAGTGCTGAAGCATACTTTTTTTTTTAGATTTATTTCTTTAATTTCATTTAATTGTATCCAAGAAATATTAAAAAGCATCAGAGAGGAAATGGCCATCAGCTTAAAAATGAAATAAGACAAAACTAAGTTAATCTATGGCCCTGGGGAACCTCAAAAATGCATTGCATCCACAGTTCCCCTTCATACAGTACTGTCAGAGAGCTGCTAATTATTATACCAATAATTTAGTAGTTAATGAATGAAAAATTGTTGCATTCACTTTTTTTTTCCAGAAATATTAATCTTTTTTCACTGAATATTTTAATAGATCAGTAAGTCTCAGTAACATGTACAGCTGCTTTGTTCTGCTTTCTGACTAGTATTTTGTTTTTTATGGGCAGAGTTCATTGCTGTTCACGCTGCAGTGAATCACATAGTGAGTCAGACCAGTATTCTGCTTTGGAAGGGAGGAAAGGGGGGCAAATTAATAGGCACTGTAGAAATATTTTCCTTGTTTCTCCTGTCCTCTAGGTTCTGGGAGAATCGTTAGGACGAGGTGATGATCACTATGACATGGACATCATAACCAAGTTCCTGAAGGTAACAAGCTCTGGTTTAGCAGGTTGATTATTCCGTGACTGTGTCGTACTTTTCCTAGCATGAAAATACTTGGGGTGAGCAGAAGGGCTGATCCTTTAGTAAGCAGAAGGGCCAGTTCCATCTCCTTGCCAAGAAAGGCTCAACCATTGGGCTTTAGGGTAAGTCTGAAGTGACTCGATGGTTCAAGGGAAATCACAGCAGTGACTTCTCACAGTCCTGGGAAAGGGCTGTTGGGCACACACAGTTCCTCAAATTCCAGGTCTACTTTTCCAGGCAAAATAAGTATGGCTTTAATTTTCTTTTGATTGGTGGGTTAATTATGTGCAGTTGCTTCTATTTACTACTCTTCATTAAAAAAAATCCCCTCAAATCCCCTCCCTCCCCTCCTCAGGAAAAACGGTGCAAACTGGGATGAAACCTGGTATTGTTGTGTGAAATAAGAGAATTTTAAAGGAAGTTCACTAGCTTTACTAAGGAAGCAGGTTGAAGTGGATAGTATGAAATTGTTTCCTTATTTCCTGGCAAGAAGCCTGTATTGCTTCTCACTTGAGTCGGTTGCTCCCTGTGTTACTAACTGGATGATCAGGGATTGTGGCAGGAGCTGAAGCTGCGTTTGTGTTTATCAGGTAAGTTGGCACTTCAACAGAGTTTGGGCTGAGCTGCCAGGCAAGGAGAGCTCAGGGAAGGTTATCCAGAGGGTGCATTTGGTGTGCTTGGCTTCTGGTTCATCCATTCTCCACTGTCATCTTCATTATTCCTTAGGCTCCTTCTCAAACTGTGCCAAAACATCAGTGTCTTCTTAGGTCTTCGCCCTTCTTATGGCCCTCTCTCTGCGTCAGCGCTGGTATCTGTATTGTTGCTTCCTTATTTTATCTCATGCTCGTTTTTGAACACTGTCCACGCTGTCCTTGTGACCCCAGCGTTGTTCCTATCCCTCTGTGCAAGGCTTCCTGCCTCTCTCATTCGAGTTTCTCCTAAAAACTTTTCCCGTGGTGACTTCAACCCCAGTCGGCTGTTCCAGCCGCTTTCCCGGCGGTTTCCAGGAAGGAGTCACTAGATGGCAGCACGACACAAACTCGCTCCTGCTTTGCAGTTTCTCCTCGGCGTTTGGGCCAAGGAGCTGAACGCCCGCGAGGACTACGTGAAGCGGGGGGTGCAGGGCAAGCTGAGCAGCGCCACGCAGAAGCAGACCGAGTCCTACCTGCGGCCCCTCTTCAGAAAGCTTCGGAAAAGGGTGAGTGAGTTAAATGCCCCCATAGACAAAATAATCTCCTACTGTCCCAGTGACCTGGGACTGTATTTTGCACTTTTGACTAGCTACTAGGTGCAACCACTTAACCTTTTCTGCTTCATGTCCTTCCTCTGAGTAATGAAGATATTTTCCTTCATTAAAATCCTTGAGTGAGACTGTAAATGCTGAGTAGGATGGTTTTGCTAAGCTGTGTATTTTGAAGTAAAGCTGTTTTGTTTTCTCTTGCAGACGCTTCCTGCAGATATCAAAGAATCAATAACAGATATTATTAAATTCATGTTGCAAAGAGAGTATGTGAAGGTATGTTTGCACTTTTGCAGGCAGTCTGATTCTAATAGATTGAGTGTGTACGTGAGCATTCCCGTTTTACATCTCGGAGAAATGTGCCTGGAAGATCCCATGATGCATATTCAAAGTGACAAATGGTTCCTAAGGATTGGATAGTGGTCGACACAAGGCCTATCTTGGTGAAACTGCATAGCCTGCAAGCACGAACAGAACTTTTCTCAGGGATAATTGTATTATGTTGCAGAGGAATCCTGAATGGGAAACCTGATCGTATAAGATTAAATGGAGGCATTGAATTAACAGAGATAATTGGGTGTTGATTAATTAATTGGGAATTAACTGAGGTTAATTGAGGTATTGTGTATGATACAGTGTCTCTTTCTCTGTTCACGTGAACAGACCTGCTCAGGTTGAGGTGAGTTACTGAACAGTGTTCAGGACAAGGTCTGGTTGCAAGGTCAAAGGCAGTTTTAGGTCTTTGTAGCTGCCCTCACAAGCAGAGCTGATACCAGCAGCGTTTGCTTAAGCAGCCTGTGTATGTAGAGGGAATCAAGCCTCACTTTGCCTTCAGTTTTCTAGTGTTTCTTAGACTTGTGAGGACCTGGGGTAGTTTTGTCTAGCAAGCAAGCAAACCTGCTTTTACTGTTGAAAACCCTTCAGATGGCCTAGGGCAAGTCTAGTTCAAATCAGCTTAAAGCAGGACTGGATGTGTGGGTTGTATTTTTTTTTTTTTTTGGCATTCTGCTGAGATTCCCTCTCCAATGCCTTCACGAGGAAGCGGGGAGTGCACTGGAATGTGGCCTATCTTGTAGGTTAATCAGCTGGGCCCTTCTGTCTCGCAGGTGCTTGGCTTTGTGTAAACTTCACCCACTGATTGAGGGGGGTTGAGTTTACATTTCGAAGACTGTTTTTTCCCTTGAGGCTAATGAGCCCTGTGCTTTTAAAGATACTCACATCCTTGTCCATTTTGCTTCCTATCATCTTGCCTCTTGCTGCTGTCTTGTGTGCTCTTCGTGCTCTAAAGCTTTAAATTTTAAAATCTTCTGGCAGCAGGAAAATGCCATAATGCAAGCTGTCCCCTCAACATTAATTAACCCTGTTGTGATAGCCTTGGCAGGGTCATTAATAGCATGCTCACCTACCATGTTTCATTGCAAGCCATATTTCAGTCAGTGAGTGCTATTCCATGTTTTCTTTAAATATGTCAATGCTGCCTTAATATTAGTATGTGGCTTCAGCTGTGTCTAACTCTGATAGTTCACATCTTGCCCCGTGTAGGTGAAGACAGAGTCATGTCTATTCTTTAGATTTGCTCTCAGCTTCTTGAGCTCTTTCCTTCCTGCAAACCCCTTGCTCATTATTCACCTCCCAACTTCCTCAGTCCAGAACGTAAAGAAGCTGCAGGCAGTGGTTGTAGTCGCTGCTGCTTGTGCTGTGGTCCCCAAATGTGAGATGGGATAAATGAAGCCTTTATCAGCGAGGCTTATAGCTGATAGTGGAGGAATGTCCTGCTCAGTGAGCCTTGAGGATATGTTTTTGTAACTGGGTGTGTGTCTGTCCCCCTTACTTCCTGCCTCTCAGTTGCCCTTAAAAAAAAAAATAAAAGGGAGCAAAAGGAGCAAACCCCCAAACCTTCCTCCTTCTCCTTTCTCTGTTTATCTCCTTCCTTGTTTTAACCCCTTCCTTTCTCAGGGGTGGTGCCTGCTACAACTTTATGTTGAGTGGTGCCTGCCATGTTGATGATATCCGTTCACTGGCACTGCTCCCCTCATAAGCATGTTACAAATGGGCCTTTTTAACCCAGTTTTGTAACGAGGTGGTTCTTGGCCACTGTGGAAGGTGGCTGCTCTCCCCACGAGCTGTCGAGGTGCTGGGTGCTCTCCTTGCCGTGCATAAATATATTGTGTTGGGAACGTGTGTTGATACTAACCAGCTTTACAAACATGGAGCCTGCCTCGGAGAGACCGAAGGGGATTTGGTTATTGTCAGAAGCTGTGTCTGGTAGTGCAGTAAATGGGCAGGCTCTGCTCTCGAAAGCCCTTCGTGCCTTGCTGAGTGCACATGTGCTCTCATTCCTGCAGGCAAACGATGCCTATCTCCAGATGGCCATTGGAAACGCTCCCTGGCCCATTGGGGTCACTATGGTGGGGATCCACGCTCGGACGGGCCGCGAAAAGATTTTCTCCAAGCATGTAGCCCACGTGCTCAACGATGAGACTCAGAGGAAATACATCCAGGTAAGTGCTGGGGCACGATAGCCTTGAAAACCCTGCAGACTTGCTTGTGAAGTTAGAGGGGTTTTGTCCTTTTGCTGCTCCTGCAGCAAGAAGATAATCTGTGTTCTGCGGTAGAGTTTGTCATCTGTGCTCTGAGCAGAGTTTGCAACAACCAAACAAGACCTCAGCAGCGTATCTGTGGTGCTAAGACATCCTTTGCAGGCTATTTTCTCCACTGAGAAGGCCAAAGCTTCCTCTGTTAAATCATCTTTCTCTTCACCCTCCGTGCTGATTTTATGACAGGCACATGTCTTCCTGCCGTCCTTGAGTGCAATTTCATTGCTGAGTTACACCACAGCAGCTTTCTTGCTTCTTCATTAGACTTTTATGTGTGACTTGAAAGAAAATAATCACAGCACTTCTGTCAGGTTGTTCTTTGGGAGTCAGTGCCTTAAAAGAACTGAAAACTCCACATCCTGCCTTTCTTTTTGATTTCTTTTCAAGCTTCTCCATTATGTAGGTCAGGTGCCATAACAGCACAGTAAAGAACAGCATTTCTCCTCTCAAAGGGAGCTGATTGGTATTTCTCTTACTTCCATAGCTTTATTTGGTGTCAAAAGTAGTCTGATTTTTTCCCTCTATTTAAAATCACTCTTTTTTAATAAACATGTTTCTTTTAAATCTTTCACTTTGATAATGTCATTTTCTCCCTTGGGGGTGAAGCAGTACTAAAACATGACCGTGATTCTTCACTATGAATCTCTCACAAAGGGCTAAATCTGTAATTTCTTAAGTTACACCACAAACCCCTTTGTAATACTGGAGATATTTGGCACTTTGCAGGGACAAAAGCTAACAAAACTTGAAAAGACACAACAAAAAACCCGAGCGAGCACAACAAAATAGCAACCATTTGTTTTTAATTCTCCTTGAGCGGAAAAGGAACCGCTTGGCTGTTGAGCGTGTTTGACAGGCGCAGTTTATTACAGAGTCTCCCTGTTTTGGTGCTTCCCAGGGGCTGAAGAGGCTCATGACCATTTGCCAGAAGCACTTCCCGACGGACCCGTCCAAGTGTGTGGAGTACAACGCGCTGTGAGGCGCCGGCGCCGCTCGCAGGGGCCCAGGCAGCGGCGAAAACAGCTCGTGCTCGAACACAGCAGGAACGTAGGGGGGTTTGCACAAAAGCAGAAACCAGCAGGTTTCTCTACAGCTTCTTTTCTGCAAGCTCCATCTATTTATACATCTTTTAAATGCTTTACACTGAACAGATCCAGTACGCAATGGGATTTTTTTTTTGAGGGGAGGGGATTAAGTACCAGGGGACAGTGACCATGAGCGTTGTTTTTATTTCAGTTGTTATTTGGGGACATCTCCAAACTGAACTGATTCTCTCCGTTTCCCTATCTCAAGGACGTAGGTGAGGCACAGCCCTGCAGGGAGCGTGTGTGAAGTTTTTTGGCTGCTTTCCCATTGGAAACTGATGTGGGGAGATGATTAGAGGGGAGCAGTTGAATCTGAATCTTGGTTATTTCTGTAAATATGAAGAGTTTAATGGCTAATCTTTCATGTGGTATTTATCAAGGGGAGAAAAAAAGTTTATATATTTCTTAGTGGAAAAATGTAGCCAGTCTGGGTAAAAAGAGTTTTTGATCTTGAATACATCTGATTTCTTCTTTTGTAACTACACTTTTAATATAAACCTTCTGGGCTTGGGACCAGTAATCCTATGGCTCTTGAGGCTTTCAAATCCCATTTTTATACATCTGGAGAAAATTTCATTTTGTTGGGCACTGCAGAGAAAACAATTAGGACCTCCCATGACCAGGTACAGTGTTTCTGGGAGCCACTAATCGTTGCCCTTGTGGGTCTAGGCGCCAGTTCCTGCCTCTGGCAGCAGAGCCAGGGCCAGCACGGAGCACTTCCCATTTGTGTTGTATCCATCCATATGGTCCATCCATATGAGCTAATTTGCAGCTTCCCTGTTCTGTCTGGGTCCTCATCTTGGCTGCAAACGTGGGTGCAGGAGCTGCTGCCTTCCAAAGGATTTGTCCTGCCTAATGTGGGTCAGGCTGTCCTGGAGACTCCCAGGATCCTCACGTGCATCTCTGGCCATGGGAATTCTTCGGTCTGGGGCATCTGACCCCACGAGAAAATGTCAAGAGCTCAAAGAGTTTAGAAGCAATAAAGCTCGGCCTGAGAGATTGGAGCTCGGGGAAGGGACTGTGGGGAACAGGCTGGGATTTGTGGGGAAATTGGGCAGATCCAGAGCGTTGGAAGAGTTTTATTAACAGCCTCGTCTGGTGGATTTTTGCCCCGTCCTGCATGCAGGATTCCTTCAGAGGAATTACCGCAGTGGGAAACATTTCTAAGGCAGCAGCTCTAGCCCTCTCCCAGCCCTGAGCTGTTCCCAAATCTTGAACCTGATCTTAGTTGTTGCCTCCCATAGAAGAACTCCAGGGGAACTTAATTTCCCTGGAAAACACAGCTGGTGAAGGGCTGGGGAGCGCTCTAAGGAGCATCGTTACATTTGCTTTAGTGGCCACTGGATCCCTTAGGGCATTAAGAATAGTATTATATAGGTTTTTCCATCCCACTTGGAGCTAACCGTGGAGGGAGTTTTAGCTGTGGATGTGTTGGAATGGGGATGCTCCGCCTGCGGGGAGATTCTAGCTTGGATCACTTGAGTCTAAGCAGATTTCAAGGCTGTAATTCAAGCAACGTGTCTCCTTGCTGACAGTCCCAGAAAGGCGGCGGCTGCGCTCAACTGATTCCCTCACGGAATAACTTTATCCCCTTGCAATGTGAGGAATGGCGCTGCACGGGGAGCGGGGGAAGCCGGCCGTGCTTTCTCACGGCGTCGCTGCCGAAGGGCTTCCAGCTGCCCCGCACGCGAGCGTCGCGCTGAGGCTCCTGCGGCTGCGCTCGAGCGGTCCATAGCGCCTCTTAACAGCATGTGGGGTCTGAGCTTGAGGGGGTGTTGGGCAGTTTGGGGAACGCTGCGTTCCAGTTCACGTGTTTGGGCTTTCGCCGGGGCCTTCTCCAGGCGTTTGCTTCTGGTAACTCCTGCGTTAGCAGGAAATAACCCGGGCGAAGGCCAAGACTCGTAGCCGTTGGGTTGAAGCCCTGTGTTTGCTGGGGTGTCTGTAGGGTGTTCCTGCCCGGGGTTGTTGGATGCAGCCCCGGTAGGGCCTGCAGAGTTACTGCAGATGCACACCTGACACCAGCATTACTATGCCCCGTGATAGTTACATGCCTTGAATTCTTCCCTTGCTCTTGGTTTATATTGACAGAAAGGCTCTTTCGGATAGATGCAGGTGAGATTAAATTGATTGCAAAACTCTATTCCTGTTGTGCTAGATGCCATAAAACCTCCCCTACAGATCTGGCCGTACCTGCAGAATGAAGTTAGGAAATTTAGGTTGTTTCTGTTTTCATGTTGTAAATCATGAATTTAGGTCTCAGCAGCTACACCAGCTTTCCGTAGGCTTAGCCTTTCAAGCAAAGGGATGCGTTTTGGCTGCTTGTGAACACAAATATATCCGAGGCCTCGGGGGGCAGAAGGTAGACGGGCAGTTTCGCACCCGCCTCTGTCAGCAGTTGCTGTGCAGGAGTCCAGGCAACTTGCCAGGATCTGGACTCCTCACGGCGCTTTGGGCCGGCCTGTTTCAACACAGAATCACACAGGAAGGGTTGAGGTTGGAAGGGACCTCTAGAGATCATCCCAGCCAACCCCCTGCTCCAGCAGGGACACCCAGAGCACGTGGCACAGGGTGGCATCCAGGCGGGTTTGGAAGATCCCCAGAGAAGGAGACTCCACAGCCTCTCTGGGCAGGTGATGGGACACAGATGATGGGAATAGTGTGGGTGAGAGCGGCCTGTGGTGAGCGGGGCCTCCTGGAGAGCCACCTCCTGTGGTGAATGGGAGCTCCTGGAGTCTCCTCTATGGTGATGGGACCTCCTGGAGAGCCACCTCCTGCGGTGAATGGGAGCTCCTGGAGAGCCGCCCCTGCGGGATCTCTTGGGAAGGACTCGCTCCTGCGGGGGCCAGGGCAGCGTTTCGTGTCCTCGGCACCTCGGGCGCCTGCGACAGACCACGGCACGGCTTCGTTTTGAAAATGCTTTAATAAGGAAGTGTTGACAACACCGTTTTGCAAAATGTAAAGGTAACTATACAAATTCTTAATACAAAAAGAATAAATTAAAAGCAGATCTTCTTTAATTCTGCAACTTTTTCTACAACATACATATTTTTTTTCCTTGATTACAGTTGAACAGAATCCAGTAAAATCATTTTACATGCTCTAAAGTCAGTTTGAGGAGAGACCTAATTTTTTTCTTTTTTTTTTTCCCTTTTTTTAAACTAGAGAGTCCATTTTACACAACTTGTAATAAAACTATTGACATTAATATATATGTAAAACTTTACATCTAGTTAACTAAGCAGTAACTGGTCATCTGATAGCACCTGAATGGGGATCGGCTATGCCTGAAACTAAAACTAATACAGAGTGAAAACAAATTTGACCGTTTCAACATTTCCAACACTCGACTGCATATAATAGCATTTAAAAATAAAGGCTGCCTCGCGGCGCAGCGACGCCGCGGGGACACAGGGAGCTTCGGACATGGAGACGAAGACGCGACGGGGCCGGTGTCCAACGGAGCCTTGAGAAACAAAACCCGAAAAGAGGGGCTCGAGGTGGTGCTCAAGTGCTTGTCTCTAATAGCTCTGCATCTACCCTCCGTGTTCTACTTAAATATGTTAATCCCACATGATTAACATTTTATGTACACTTGCGTTTAATTGAATTGAGCTAAACAGTAAAACCTGTTTTACTTAATCTGTCTTTACTACCAGACTGGCTCCTCTCGTGTGCCTTTACTGCAGAACGGAAAAGCAGAACGCAAAGCAAAACCCGGTCCCTTTCGAGGAAGCTTCTCTCTCTGCTCCAGCCTCTTTGCCACTCAGGCTCACTAGGGTGGTTTTCTGTTTTCTCTCCTAATTTCAGGGCTGCCACCTTTTAACCTTTGCTGCAAAACTGCTGCTCTGCTCTTGGAGGAATTCCTGTTTCTTCCCGTAGTGCCCAGGGGCCTCATCGCGCCACTGTTGTTGAATTCTTTTTAATTAAAAGCAAGTACACAGGGGAAAAAAAGGGTATTTACCAGGAAAATTAAAAAGAAAACAGACAGTTGCTCAGAGGCCCTAAAAAATTGGTGGGCTAAATTACTTGCTGCTAATTTGGGTCTTATTTAATCCTTTCAATTTAGCTTCAAAATTGTATCGGCAAATTGTATCCGCAAATCTGCTACCTCCTCCCCGGCTACGCGTCCCATGCGGAGCCTGCGCCCGTTCCCGTGTTCCAGACCCAAGGGGGTCTGTGCGTTCCGGGTTGGAAGGGGGAAGGTTTCCCCTTTCCCCGGCTAACTCCGGGGCCCCGTTGCCCTTGCCAGCTCGGCCCGCAGTTTTCCAGCAAGGTGGACACACAAGGTGCGGCAGCCCCGCGCCGCGGTGCTGAATTCGGACCGTTTTGCCCTGTTTTGTCTGGTAGACGCTACTGTCATCCCTGGAACCCGCCTGCTCGCACTTCTCTGAACTTCGGCAACTTCAGCTTCTGCTTTTCCCAAATAACCCCCTCTGGTCGTTTCTTTAAAGCCTTTCCCATAGGAAATCATCGTTTGCGCGCGCAATGGGGGGAAGGCGAGCTGCCTCCCCTCATCTAGTGGCAATAAAAATCGCGTAGCACCGCAGTGAAGACTAGACGTGCCAGCTCCAGCATCCACCAGGATTGTGCACTTGTTCGTTACAAAAGTGTCTTTGAGGCCTTTGAAGTTCCATGGCTTGACGTGTATAAAGCATTGCTCAAAAGTATGTGTAAACTCGCAGCTTCCTCGCGCCTCTCCGCTGGGATTCCGCTGGGGATCGGGAGACGACTCGGGTTTGGGCCCAGCACCCGAGTTTTTCGCTTCTCTTTCTTGTGGTCGCTTCTTTCCGACGTGGAAATTTGCCTCGTCTGCTGGTTCGTTAAGCGCCGCCGCTGCTCCCTTCCCGCCAGACCGGTCGGGCCGCCCCGCAGCTCCTCGGCTGCTGGCGAAGGTGGGATGGTAATTGGGATACGTCAGTGCGGCTCCACCGGCTCCATCAGCCTCATGTGCTTTCCCTTTGATTCTGTGTTAGCGCTTTGTGCTAGAATTTACTGGCTGGATTCACTCATTGAAAGGTTTTTGGCAATTTTTATCTTCATCTGAGTATTAAGAAAAAAATAGAGACCAACCCCCACCTCTGTGTGCATGGGGACGTGGGATGGAAGCTGTTGGTAGCAGCAGCACTTGCCTCTGCTCTGGGTGATGCCTGGGTGAACCTGGGCTGCCCAGTTTAGAGCAGCCTGGAGATACTGGGGGAGACACCGGGGCATCTTCAGCGCCCTGGGTTAGTATTTCCCGTGTTTTAGACAGGCTCCAAGTGGAGGAGGAGATGCTGTTTTGTGATACGGTGATGGCCGTGCCTGTTCAGTGAGAGGGACGCTCGTGTTTCGCCAACTCGCCGCCCGCTCCTCAATGTTGTCTGGCCACCTCCAGCCACAGAGCAAGGAGGGTTTCCGGGAGGCTCACGCTA